ATCTTCATTCAAAAACTCCTTTCAGACCTACAATTGTCCCTCCTAAAATAAATTTAACTAGAAAAGTTTGGCCTAACAGATATTTAAAACCTTCTGATTATCCTTTTGCACCAAATCAATATCCAGCTCCACTTCCAACTGCACCCCTTCCTGATTATCTAACAGATGAAACCTTTCTTGAAATAAAAGAAATGGTTAAAGCTAAAGCGCAAACTTTTTCAATTCTTCGACATGAATTTAATAAAATTATGAGACTTAAACTTTATGATAATGTTTATCATGATGAAAGAATCAAGACAATGGATCTTCCATTGATCCCTCATGGAATAGTTATCGATAACATCACCAATCCTGAATTTGATTCAATTAAAAAGTTAGTTCAATGTGCTTTTTGTGCACAATATGCTCTTGAACCCAGAGAATGTCGAAGCTGCCGAAAATGTTATTGTTTAGCTTGCATACAATGGTTAAGAAATCTCGTCGAGATTCTTGAACTTTTTCCTCTCACTCATCCTAATCAATTCCTTTGTATCCTTCCTAAATGTATTAAATATCACACTCAAAAGGATGATTATCCTTTTTATCAACCTTTATCAAACTCCAAAACCATTGAGATTTACATGAAAACTCTTTTCAAATGCAGGCGTACACATTGTACTGCTAATCTTACTTTAGATGAATTCATGAGCCATGAAAAGAAGTGCAGACTAGGAATTTTTGCTGCTAAACTTTACTTTAATTATACATTTGAAGAAATGAAAATTTCACCAGAAGTTAGGGAAGAAGTAAAGAAAGTTCCGAAAAGTTTAACAACTTTTCTTCCTGATCACCTACAGCAGGGTAACTTTGATTTACCAGAAAATCATCGAGCTCATGCAAATCAATGGTATGAGAAGATGGGCCTTTGGGCTTGCCTCTCTCATCTTAAAGATGAAAACCCAAATGATCCCTTATTAAGTCCCGCAGCCATAAGATCCCTCGCTCATTTTTCCCTCGGTTTCTGGGATGCTAAAAAGCAGCTCCATGATCCCACTCATCCCTTATCTGAACAAGAAAGTTTTGTTCAACATATTGTTGGTTTTGAACCAATCATGGGAAAGAAAATTGATCCCAATGTAATCAAACCTCGCCCTCACACTATTACTTGGTCAAGAGTCCCCTTCTATTTATTAACTGATTCGGAAGAATGGGTCAAGGTTGCAAGAGGTGGAATTCCGAGATCTAATCCTCCATTTATGAAAAATGTTGCACCCGAGACTGAAGATCGTCTCACTCCCTTTATCAAAATTAATCCTATCCTTCGATTATCTCCTGAATTACAAAAACAACTATTCGAATATGCCAAACATAATTTTCCTACCTTCAGAGGATTCCGTATGGAACATATTTTCCCTAGCACTTCGAATGTCAAAGCCTTAGTTAATCGAAAGAATAAGGTCGATTTAGCCACAAGAGAGTTTCATGGATTAACAACAATCAAAATGCCTCCACTTCGAGCTAATACTGAAAAGTTAATTCAAAAGCAAATTGAAATCCATCCAAGTCCTGAAACTACATTCTCCATTCACATGGCTTATTGCCGAGTTCAAGGATGGACTGCAGATGAAAGAAATCCAGCTTTACGCCCAAGACCAATATGGGTAGTAATTGTAGATGGTTATAAGAACTCATCACTTTCCCTCATCTCATTCCTTCTTTTACCTGGATTCACTCTTCGCGCTGAACCACATTCACCTGCAATTGAAGCAATTACTTCAATGAACCTTTATATGGCTCACTGGCAGGAAATTGAGGAATCTTCACGCAAATGGGGAGGAATCAATCATGAAAATATGGTTAGGACCTGTGGTAATAGAAAAGTTTCAAAACTTTTGCAAATCTACCAAGAACGAGTTAGAAACAATCAAGCAAGATGGCCATCAAACTGGGCCTATGTAAATCGCAACAGCGATCTGAACTTTAAAGCTCCTTGCGTTTCTCCCGCATCATCTCCAACTCCTTCACAATACTCAAATTATGGTAGTGATAGCAATTATTCAATCCATTCAGTTGATTCATCTGCTAGTTCAACTTCATCCATCGATTCAATTACCTATGAATATCGAGCTCCTGCACCATCACCTCCTAGACCTCAGCCTGAAAGAGACTTTCCCCTCATCGATCTATCTGATGATGATGAATCCGTACGACTACTGTCACCTCATACACCTACCAATACTCCTCCGAATTCACCTCAACTCTCTCAACAATCAACTCTTCCAGCATCCTCTCAATCAATAGCTCAAGCTATATCCACAATTTCATCTTCTTCATCTTCAATGAAAAGAAGACACAACTCAGCAGAAGCTTCACCCGATTTCCCTCCACCAAGAATTGAGTTCGATCGAGCATCAACTCCTTCCTCACTCTATTCAGCAATCGCTGATTTACTTGGTTCACCTTCGCCTCGAAGTTCTCCATCCCTTCCTCGCTCATCTCCAGTTTCTCATTCCTCAACTTCAACAACTTCAACTTCAACAACTTCAGGTTCCGGCTCATCTTCAACGTCATCCTCCACTACTGACCTCACATCTTCCTCCGATATAATTACAAGAAACTACGCACAAGGAAAAGTCATCCCGTACCCAATTCCACCAAGTCCATGGAGACATTTGAGATCAAAGGATAACCCGGAATCCAACACTTCACAAATGTCGGAAGATTCAAGATATTCTTCCACCTCGACTGCCTCTTCAGGATCATCAACCAGGACTGTCGTTTACAACCCGAATAATCCCTCTCAAGTCCGCTCTCATATCTTTTACCCCACTCGACAAAGGTCCTCTTCAAGAGATTCTAATTCATCAAACCGAAACTGAATCAATCTAAACTAACTAAGGGTTCAAGGTCTCAAATTCAGAGAAGTGAAGGGTAGATTTCTGACTTAGTTAATTTATTCAATTCAATTTCATTTATTCATTCAATCTCTTGAATCATCCCTCTTTTAAATTTAATTCAATTCAGTTTAAATTCAATTGTTTCATTTCACAAATTATAATTGCTAAAGCAATATCATAATTCAGTTTTCTTAACTATGTTCAAAAAGCCTAAGTGCTAATCTTAATTGTAATCCGTCAAAATCCTCTAAATCTCATGTCTAAATGAATGTAAATCTAACCACAATTCTGGTTAAAGAATTGACCAAAATTAAGATTGAAAATTAAGTGCACAAAAGTAAGAGATGTAAAAATCACTTTCTTTTTTATCTTCATTTTCAACTGTTTTTCACCTTCTTTAATCCCCTTGCATTGTCAAAGGTACAATCTCTTAGGAGATATATGTCTCAAGACATAATGGTAAGAGGTAAAAAGCTTGTAGCTTTACCAGTATTAATTACTGATAAGACTCAATTTGGTCACTGGTTAAAATCAACCAAAACCAGACACAATTAGACAGAGAAAAAAGCTTTACTTTCTCAATTCCCTCCAATTTCTATTCTTTGTTTCAAGAAGGTTATAAAAACCTAAAATTTCATTTTTTACTTTACTTATTGGTTACTCTCCTTAAGTCATTCATTACTCTTGTAATATCCTCATTCATTTTTGTTCAACATTAAATTTCTTAAGAAATATTCAACTTATTCAACTAATTTCCATTCAGTTATCTTGTTTTAATAAAAGATTTCAAGTTAACTCTAAGTATTCCTAACTTATGAATTGTGCTTTTCATCTCTTATGAGATATCCTGAAACACAGATAAGTTTAAGGTGTAGATCTCTAGTGATCCAAGATTCGAACTCAAAACTTGAAGTGAAAGCAAGTTCGCAGTCTTCTCATCAGATTACTTCCGTAACAAACCTTTCAGGAGGACCTTACAGCGAACATATTGATGTTACTAAACCTTTGAATGAAAGCCTTTTCTCATTAATCAGATATTTCAGTGAAAAAGGAACAAGAAAGCTAAAAATTGTTGCTAAAAATGATGTATCTTCAATTACAAAATGGATGGAGATTTCAGTCTATTAGTCTATAGAACGCAATTGTTACCACTGGAGAAATCTTGATAAGAATTAACATGTTTTTGATGTTACTCTTCACAAAAGATGAATCTCTTTGATACTAGGTCAAACGATCGCTCGCCAAGATCGGATTGTGCTTAAAACATAGTCAATCATCATTTAGTAGAGCTATATATTTTTCTATGCATCAGAATAAAAAATAAATATACAATTAACGAAATTACATACGAGTTTGAAAAAACTGATTTTAAATTGATCATAACTCAATTTAATAAATGTGAATTTCAATAACCAACTCAATAATGTCACTTTTTTAATATTGCGATTAGCATCTAATTGATAATCATTATTGGTGAAATTTAATTTGAGTGTTTAGTAAATTCTTAAAATGCATCATAAGAAGGCATTTTTTACTTATGAATACAAACCAGATAGAATGGGAATTTAGAGGTGATATGTGATGCAATTAGATCTAACAAGGGGGATACCCGAGGTCATCCGAACCGATTTCAATGATTAGTGTGTCATTGAATTCGTCTTATTAAAAAACATTATAGTTCGTCTTCTTTTGAGTAGCAAATGGACAGAAGGGTCAAAAATCGCCATTTATTGTCTATCGCTATGCATAGATCAATGGGAAAGCAATAATATGAACCCATTGCGATGAGCCTTTTTGTTTCACTCATTTTGTTTTGTATGCTCTTTACCATACTTTACATGTAAAAAATTGAATTTTAATTCCGTTTTTCTCGTTAATCTTTAATTTGCTACTCGGGAGATTTCGAAACAATTAAACACACATAAAACCTAATTAGTTTATGATAAAAATATTAACTTTTATTCGGATGACCTCGGGTACTTTCCTCGTAAGTGCATTTTCTGGCTGATCTTCAAAATTTGCAACAGAAAAATGTTTCGATATTTCGGTATTATTCAAGCTCCAAACAATTTTATTTTAGTGAAACTATCAATTGTATTTATTCAATAGGATGCAGAGCAAAGAGTTGCCGTTATGTACTTAGGATTTCATATTAGGTCATCCGGGAAGTCGTGCCCTCTGACCCTGTTTTCAAAATTTGCGATAGATATCGACAATTTTTTCAAATTCACTATTTTAAACTGACCCAATTAATACGCTCTGATATTACCAATTAATCAATTGTCAAGTTTTTCAACCAAATACAGTTTAGATAACATAATAGAATTGGCGAGAAATTACTTTAATACACTGAAATGTTGAATATTTGACGAATTATCGATACATCATTTTCAAGAAAAAGATATAAACTTCTTGTTCCTTTTTCGCTGAAATAATTAGATATTGAGAAGAAGCTATCATTTGTGTCTTTTTCAACACTTTCATTTTCGATATAAGGTTCTTCCATCGACAAACGATAACGATAATGAAATGGAGGCGTTCCTCCATGAATTTTGAAGTCTAGTTGAAGTTTTTCAAACACTTTAACCTCGGTGGGACCATCAACAGTCAAATCAGTAATTGGATCTTTGCTTTCCAATGTAAGGTTGAATGTACCAGATTTTTGTATAAGACGACTTCCATTGGTTTTAGTTGCTGTGACAATCACTGAAATGTTGTTCAGTTGAGGCTGGGAAAAAGTATGTTCAATAACACTATCGCTTTCTTCTTGTTGTTCATCATTGATAATCCATTTGTATGTTATATTGGCTGGTGGGACAACATATCGTCCGGTAAAATACTCAGTAGAATCAAAAATATAGGCAGTCAGCACAACCGGCCTTGCAGTGGTCACAATATTTTTTCTCAAACTATCAGAGTTAACTGATTGGTTTTTATCTATGATTCCAATGAGTGAATCTAGAAAATATTAATAACATTATAATATTAGATACAGAATTGACAAGCACTGATATTATCAGATTGGCGTCTCAATAACTTTACCTGAAAGCTCGAAAGTACGATGAACAGTTCCTAACAAATACGAAGGGACATCGTGACGACAATGCCATACATCAACCTTTACTGTGTAGGTACCAGCTTTCGGTGTTGAAGACGAATCAAATGTCACTGAGTATACAGCTTGTGAAGTTGAAACAATGGTTTTATCATGTTGAGGAAATTGGTCAAATTTAAACCGATATTCATATGATGGATCATCTGTTGTATATCGATTATTAACTGTGAAAGTGATTGGTAAGTCAAGTGTAACAGGCCCATCGTGTTCAATATAAATCCAGTCACAGGCTAAAGTAAAAAATGATTGAATGAGAAAAAAGTGAATCAAAAGGACTCTCAAAGGTACATAGCAATATTTAAATTGCATAAAATTAACACCATAACATAAGTTGATGTAAAAAGATTTTTGACTGTTTTATAATCTTGCTTTTCTAATCTTAATAGTTTGCTAATCTTACCTGTAACCTCCATGGTATAAAGAATAGTTCCTATCGAATGAGTTTGGACCCCGAGTTGTAATTTCCATACGTCAACTTGTACTGTATAGTTGCCACCTTTCGATTCACAGGTTGATGCAAATTTTACTGCGTATGTTGTCATTGACTCATGTGATACGATGGTTTTATCAAGCTGTGGAAATTGGTCAAATTTGAACCGATATTCATATGATGTAGCTCTTGATCTATAGGACTCTGCAACTTCAACCATAAATCTAATTTCAGCATTAACTACAAAAGGTCTCATGATAAAAACACTAAAAGTTTGGTTTTGGGACCAAACTTTCTCACCATAAGCTGAAAGTAAACGAAATAGACAATAAAACGTGAGTCAGTAGGATTTTCAAGATGACTGAGTGCTTGTACATCAAACACAGCATCTCATTGAAATTGAATAAAATTTAAACCATGACAATAATTAATGTAAAAAGATCTTTTATTTTAGCTTAGAAGATCATTAAATAATTATATAAAATTAATATTGAACCTACGATTTCCATTGATAGTTGAGACGAAACACAAAATAATGAATGATGATAAACTTCTCATGGTTGGTCTGAAATTACAGATGATTTGCACTTGAACAATGTTTGGATGGAAACTGTTTTCAAACATTTATCACAACTAAACTCCGATGGCAGCTTCATATTATGGTTTACAAGGGGCGATGACCTGGGCTAGTTGTAAAGGTTACCCGCGCTAGATGGCGATGGAGATAAAGTTGCTTCAACAGAGCCTTGTAATGTATTTTGTTGACTGATTTGTTCTTTCTATCAAATTTGTGGCCACTAGTTTCGTCGTGATCTAGATTAACCATTGGACTTAATCATTAAACTATTCAATCGACAATAGCGAGTGAGGTTATAAGAACTCGAACTGGCTTTTAGTTTTCGTGCTATTAGGTTAAAGTTTGAGCCAACGGTCTGTCCATTGTATCCTGATCTAGCGACAGCGAAGTGACATCTAACTGATAACCTTTGCAGTTGAAGTTCAGTTCTTGACAATGATGTTTCAATGAATATATAAAAATATAAAAACTCAATCCTAAAGCCTAATATGAATGTAAAATGTTTCAACTTACAATTTTTGAGTGGGTCCTATGAGACAAAACCAGTAGATCGGCGTCATTGCTGGTTACTCCGAAAGCTTCTTTCACTTTTGATAAGAACGCATTTTTATCGGCCACAATAGGAACATACTTAAAAGTCCAATTATTACCAGAAGCCAAAAAAACCTTAATAAAAGATTCAGTACCACTCATAGGAAGATCTATAACAAAAACAAAAATAATTATTTTAAGAAATACAAAAAATAGATAGAAAAATAAATCAAACAAAACACATACCAATATTACCAGGATGACTCCTCTTGGATAAAACCCGGTATTTTGATTGATGTTTGGCCATAATCAATTGTTGCCTCATAAGTAAATCTTCAACTCTTGGTGGAGGAACAATTATTTCAATATTCGGGGTCCAACTGGATGTACGACGAAAGGGAACACAAGTCAAGACATGTTTAGCATATCCATAAGGTTCAAAATCGAGATGACATCCCCTACACTCAATAATTCTTCTGGTATAATGGACCTCTTCTATCTCACAAAAAGGACGAAAGAAAGGGGCCTCAAAAGCCTTTGGACAACCAGCGACCGGACAGCGGGGATACTTTCTTCCGTTCTTATCAATACCATAGTTACGATTAGTATAGTTGCGTTTTTTGTGACTTTGTTGTTTATTTTGTTGATGATGATGTGTTAAACACAAACAAAATGTAAAATTTGACCTATCGATAAAACTTTCATCTTTTGAGTTACATACTCGTGAGTTTTATCGGTGAAATATAAAATTTCAGGTATCTTTTACGGTCACAAAGAGCACTCAGACCAAACTGAAAAGAAATGATCTGTTGTACGAAAACAGAAAATTGGCTTCGCGAAATAAGTTCATTTTATGGCTGATCTTTATCAGAAAAATGATTTTGATTAAAAAATCTGGTTGAATAAGTGTAAAATAGGGGTTCCCTGTAAGTTCGCCAATTTTAAGCTTTAAAACAAACAAAGAGTCATATCCTTTTACCACTTTAAAGAAACATTTACAATAATTATTTACTGCTTTGGCAAGTAAATTATCAATTTTGATCAAGATATTCGTGTACAGCGATCAAGCTCAAGCTGAATTAATTCAATATCATCATTTTGGAAGCTTGTTGTATCAGTCCAATAATTTTTCGGCTATCTTTAGCTTCAAACATAACTGAGAACAGAACAGAATCCTGTTGGACATTTCTTTCGGACTAGTTGCCCAATAAAAGCACTAGACATTGCATCTCTTTTCAAACTGTTACAACAAGCTTCCAAAATGATGACAT